AATGAGTTAAAACAATTCTCTGGAGATGGGTGAGTCCACAAACACCCAACTTTCACAGGCATTGAAGGATGGGTCATACTGCCCTGCTGCTGCTACTGAGTCGCTTCAGTCGTGTCCAACTCTGTGCGACCCCATAGACGGCAGCCCACCAGGCTCCCCCGTCCCTGGGATTCTCCAGGCCGAAACCCTGCAGTGGGTTGCCATTTCCTTCTCCAAGGCATGAAAGTGAAACGTGAAAGTAAAGTTGCTCAGTTGTGTCCGATTCTTCGCGGCCCCATGGACCGCAGCCCACCAGGCTCCTCCGTTCATGGGATTTTCCAGGCAAGAGTACTGGAGTGGGTTCATACTGCCCTACTAAAGGGCAACTGAGAAGGCATCAGCCAAGTGTACTCTATGGAATTTTGAAGAGTGAATTAGAATGGTAGGAGCCTAAAGAATTAGATAAAGATATGAAAGGTATCTTTCATATAGATAAACAAGGCTGAGCACCGAAAAACAGATTTTCCCTAGAACTTCAGGAAAGAATAAAGCCCTGTTACACCTAATTTTAGCCCAGGAAGACTCATGTTTACCCTTTAAACTAAAGAATTGTAGGATAATAAATTTGTGTTATTTCAATTTGTTACAACAGCAATAGAAAACCAGTACAGTGACTATGAAAAGAGAAGGGAAAGACTAATAAATAAGACCTCTATTTTTTTAAAGGTCTTAAAAATATTAGCTTCTGTTTTATTTTTCCATTTTAAGTAAAATAACTCTTATAACCTTCATCACAATTCATGAACTAAATTTAAAAGTGACAGAAAAAATAATTTCATGAAATTATAATTGAGTTAAAATATGATAGTAAAAGATCAGTATTTTATAAGAGTTAAGAAAAATAGACCTTTAGTGAACCCCCCAAAATTTTAATGGTAGATTGCAAGGAAGAATGTATATTGATTTCTATATACTATATTAAAGAAATAGGTGCTAGCTCAACGCATGGTGAGCCTTTTTTTGGACTACTGTTTTATACCTGCCTGAGATTCACATTTTCTTATAGAGAAAAATGCAGGACTGTGAGCTTCACGGCCAGCAGAGGGCGCCATAAGGCAGGCACTCTCTCGCTCGCTCGCTCTCTTTCTCTCTCCCTCTCTTATCCAGGGGTTTTTTTGCCTAGGCAAACAAAGCATCCTGGCTTTGGTCCTGTAAGCCTGTGCGTCCTCTGTATGACCTCGTACTCCTAAATATCAGGTTTGAAAGTAAGAGCAAATTTTTGCATTGACATAATGTTTTTTCAATAAAAGCTTATTTATGATAATTGTTGGCATCTTCCTCAATAAAAATGAAAAATAATAAAATTTCCATGAAGTCTTCAACAACAGGAACATTATTAGTAAGTAGTAAAAGTGTGCAGTGTTATGCAACTTATTTAAATGGAAACTCTCCCAAGCTAGTGCTTTGAAGAGAGGTGAGAGGAGGGGGGGATGCATCCTGAGGAGGATATTTAAATAAGCGTCAAGACTTCCACAATTTTATCCGGTGAGGCCGAAATCCATTTTCAGTTCAAAGAATAATTAGTATGTTCTTTAGCTCACCAAAGATAGGTTAACATAGAAAACAACCAGGCTGCAAGTCAGAGAGTCCAGGGGAAAAAGGGAAGGACAAAGTCCAAGCAATCATTCAAGCTAATTCAGGGTTCAGGCAGCCACGGATTTGCAGAACATACTGGAGGTAGCAAATGAACCCAGAAATAGTGATAATTATGTCTTTGTACTTAGAATGAACACAAAAATAAATACAAGATAGAGATTATTAAGTTTCTACAAATTATAAGCTAAGTCACCATATAAGATGGAGGAGACCCACTGGGGCAAATAACAGTGATGGACAGAGGAGGACTAGAAAAGCAGGACAAAGCCAAGAGACCTCATCTGTTACTTATTCTATTTGCTTGGTGATCAAACCAGTCAATCCTCAAGGAAATCAGCCCTGAATATTCATTGGAAGGACTGACTGGGAAGTTGAAGCTTCAGTACTTTGGCCACCTGATGCAAAAAACCAACTCACTGAAAAAGTCCCTGATGTTACAAAAGATTGAGGGCAGGAGGAGAAGGGGTTGACAGATGATAAAAATGGTTAGATGACATCATCAACTCAATGGACAAATCCAGGGGTTTTTTTGCCTAGGCAAACAAAGCATCCTGGCTTTGGTCCTGTAAGCCTGTGCGTCCTCTGTATGACCTCGTACTCCTAAATATCAGGTTTGAAAGTAAGAGCAAATTTTTGCATTGACATAATGTTTTTTCAATAAAAGCTTATTTATGATAATTGTTGGCATCTTCCTCAATAAAAATGAAAAATAATAAAATTTCCATGAAGTCTTCAACAACAGGAACATTATTAGTAAGTAGTAAAAGTGTGCAGTGTTATGCAACTTATTTAAATGGAAACTCTCCCAAGCTAGTGCTTTGAAGAGAGGTGAGAGGAGGGGGGGATGCATCCTGAGGAGGATATTTAAATAAGTGTCAAGACTTCCACAATTTTATCCTGTGAGGCCGAAATCCATTTTCAGTTCAAAGAATAATTAGTATGTTCTTTCGCTCACCAAAGATAGGTTAACATAGAAAGCAACCAGGCTGCAAGTCAGAGAGTCCAGGGGAAAAAGGGAAGGACAAAGTCCAAGCAATCATTCAAGCTAATTCAGGGTTCAGGCAGCCACGGATTTGCAGAACATACTGGAGGTAGCAAATGAACCCAGAAATAGTGATAATTATGTCTTTGTACTTAGAATGAACACAAAAATAAATACAAGATAGAGATTATTAAGTTTCTACAAATTATAAGCTAAGTCACCATATAAGATGGAGGAGACCCACTGGGGCAAATAACAGTGATGGACAGAGGAGGACTAGAAAAGCAGGACAAAGCCAAGAGACCTCATCTGTTACTTATTCTATTTGCTTGGTGATCAAACCAGTCAATCCTCAAGGAAATCAGCCCTGAATATTCATTGGAAGGACTGACTGGGAAGTTGAAGCTTCAGTACTTTGGCCACCTGATGCAAAAAACCAACTCACTGAAAAAGTCCCTGATGTTACAAAAGATTGAGGGCAGGAGGAGAAGGGGTTGACAGATGATAAAAATGGTTAGATGACATCATCAACTCAATGGACATGAGTATGAGCAAATTCTGGGAGATAGTGAAGGGCAGGGAAGCCTGGTGTGCTGCAGTCTATGGGGTCGCAAGGAGTCAGACATGACTTGGCGACTTGAACGACAACAATGGCACACAGTCAAGACCAAGTTTTGCACAGAGTTAGTACAGACTGAAATTTTAACGATTTTAAAATATTATGACGGTTTATCATATGTGAAATAGATCACCAGTCCAGGTTTGATGCATAAGACAGGGCACTCAGGGCCGGTGCACTGGGATGATCCTGAGTGATGAGAGAGGGGTTCAGGATCGGGGACACATGTACACCCATGGCTGATTCATGTCAATGTATGGCAAAAACCACTACAATACTGTAAAGTAATTAGCATCCAATTAAAATAAATTTGTTAATTAAAAAATATTATGATTATTTATCAGAGTAAATCCACATTTAAAAGTACATTCACAAATTCATTTATTTAGAGAATCAGAAATATGCTTTTGGTACCAAACTCAAAAGGTATATAGTCTTACTTGAAATAGAAGGATACTAACTTCATTGCTTTTGTAAATTATAATTATTAACTTATAGTTTATTATTGTAAGATGTCATGATTTATATGATCCCATTTTTTGTACTGTACTTTCTATCACTTTCTTTCTACCTATACATTTAGATACCAAGCCAAATTTCAATATGTTTTCTGATTAGAGAGACATCTGAACCAATGTTCACCAAATATTTTTGCCTATTTTGAGGTACTTCTCTTTTTTATAATCTGATGTCAGATTTTTTGAAAGCCAAAATAACATATTATAAGACAGTGCAGAAGCAGATATAAAAACCCAAACATTAAACCAGACATTAAAGAGATTTTCAAAAATGTAAACAATATCACTTTCTCACAGATATCCTGTTTTGGAAAACAAAGCATTCTTCATAAAAGATTATTTTTGTTAATGTATGGTTTATCACAGTAATTTTTAATGAATATATGTAAAATTTTTATCAATTTTAACTTCTAACATGACAAATATTGGTAAATAAAACCTATACAAATTAAAGCTTTTAAAGTCCTCTACATAATTTTTGGGAGTGTAAAGGAGTTCTAAGATTAAAAAAATGAGAACTTCTATTTCAATGATGCCTAGATGCATAACTTCAAATCAAACCTCCCTCATGAGCAACAACTCATATAAATATGTTACGTAGACAAACTAAGCAATCCAAAACAGAAATCTTGATGCTATCTCAACCTGCAAAATTTGCTGTTTTCCCAGGTTTTCCAATTTTGCTAAATGGCACCAAAACGTACCTACTTGCTCATTTCCCAAACCTAGGACTCACCATTGACTGATTTCTTCTACAACTGAACTACTAGCAAGTTCCATTGACACTACTGTTAAAATATATTCCTAGTCACATCACTTTTCACCACCTTCACAACTATCACCCAGTGCAAGGGGAATACTCCCTTGGCATCTTGGAATTAAAAAAAAAAAAAAAATCTTAGTAAGGTTTCCGAAGGAAAGTTCTCTCTCATCATCATATAGACACAGGCAGAACCCAAACAGTTTATAGAATATTAGTTTTCATTATTAGTACAGTGATTCAGTAACTCCAGTGATTCAGTTTTCTCTAACTAAATTTTAAAACTCTCAACTCAGAAGAATAGGTGATATCATATATTTCATGCAATAACTTTCATAAAAGCATATAACTTTGAAAGTTTTCAAATGTTAGCACCCAAATAAATTAAATTTAAACACTTTATGTTTCTGAAACTCTTTCATTTAGACATTGGATTAAAATGTAAGCTCTATATTTTATTCTCACTAGATGGATAGTTCAACGTACCTTATCGAGTTCATCTGAAATTGCAATACCTGGGAATCAAGAGAGACAAAAAAGTTTTAGAAGTAATCCTAAATAACCCAGTCTTAAAAACAAAAGTTCTATTTGTAGAACTAGTATATTTTCCATGCTATTTTTTTCTTGTTAAGGGTACTTCAAAATAATGTGGTACTTTCTTTCTACTGATGAAAACAAATTAGGAATTTAAGACAACTATAATAGCTGCTGAAACAATGGAAATGATGCAACAAAAAACAAGTACCATACTGCTTGTTAAATGCAGAACAAACTTGCAAAGACGACTGTAGAGAAATTGTCTTTATGTGGTAATGACAATCAGTGCAGCTTAGCTTGTTACAACAGTGTTCTTTTCTAAAAACTGATTCAGATTCCTAGAGTGGTTAAAAAATTAAGGCAGAGAGATGGTTGAAGATCATGTATTTTAATTCCCTTATTTTCCAGATAAGGACACAGACAGGGGAACTTAAAGTATTGTGTTACGTGTTCCCTGAGATCAACAGCTTCTTGGGGCCAATGGATCAAGATTCCTCCTCACAAGCTCCCCTTCTATCCACACACTCCTTAGTCCAATTTTTGTCTTTATTATTCTCCTAAAATTGTTCTAAGTTAGTAACATAAAAGTTTTAGTCCTTAATTTATCTCTCTGTGATGACAGACTCTGTTAATTCCAGTCTTTTCTTGAAATGCATCCCTACGTTTTCTATTCTCCTTTGTCTCCTTCACAAAGACCTTCTTCTTTGGGGGGTGGGCAGTGAGTCCTTTCCTGAAAGGCCAAGGGTACTCTTCCCCTTGCCTTAGCCCTGCAAAAAGAGTCTCTTCACTCATTTTTTTAGAATGTTACCAGTTGATCTTAAAAATTTTTTTTCACACCTCAGACTTATGAATCCATTATTCATACAGACAGCAATAATATTTCACCTACCTAGAGTATAGCCGAGAACTAGCAAATAAGTCAAAAGGCCTTAGTGGCCTTGTATTATCAAAATGCATGTCACACAGAACTTAAGCCTCACTCAAGAGCTAGTCCCTGCATCCTCTGACCACTGTCCATTTTAGCAGGTATCAGGGAGCTTTTGCAGGACCAAGAAATTTTATCAGTGGAAAACGAAGATGAAGAAAATGGTTGCTATGAAGACATGTTAAAGACAAAGAATGATAAAGGCTTCTTGTGAATTCTTTCAAATAATTTTATCAGCATATATAAGTACACATACAAATGTTTTATGCTTCTCTATGCACGTATAAAACAAAATTGGAGGCACACACACTGTTTTGTTATCTGTTTTGTGTATAAAACATATTTTTATATTAGTAAATATTTTCTACAGTATCATTTTTAAAGAGTATAAAGTAGACCATTAAAATAAATTCCTTTAAAAAGTTAAAAAAGAAAGTATACCATTGTATGAATGTGTCATGATTTATCCCTTTTTCTTTCTCTAATAAAAGATACTTAATTTCCAACTTTTCCTATTAACACTCCCATGGCGGTAAACAATGGAAACTTAGCTTGGACATGGCTACACACAATGAATATGTTTCCTATCCACTTTTTTTTTTTTTAACCAACTTTTCTGCCACTTCAGACAGTTAGATTTTCTGAAGTACTTTCCATCCTTGATTTTTCTAAAACATTCTATCTTGATTTTCATCTTATCTCTCTGAAAACTCTTTTTCAGTGTTCTCAGCTAGATCACTTTTCTACCTGTATCTTAAAGGTTGATGATGTATGTGCCGGGTGGGTGGGCTCTTTTTCCCTGTATACTAAAGATTCCCATATCTGAATCATGCAAAGGCTGTTCACCTCACACTCCTACAGAAATATCTGAAGACTAGATAAATAAATGAACAAACAACTGCCACAATATCTGCTTCCGTTTTTACTCAGAGGTTGTTATCCTCTAACTCCTCAGGCTGTCTGTCAGAAGAGACTTTTGTAGGATGTTCATGATTGATGCACTCAAAAAGTTCTTTGTTGTTGTTGTTGTCGTTTTTCTCAATTGATTCCGGACAGCTGTTATCAGTCACAGAGCATAAAATATCAGCCCTTTGTTCTCCCAACAGCTGGACATTTTCCCTGGAAAAGCTCCAGCCAGTGTTTCACCTGAACTGCAAACTGCAGATTGCTGTCTAAATGGACTAAAGATACCCGTCCTATCACTGCCTCCCTTCAGAGAGATGAGACTCAGAAAAGCTTTGGGCTCACTCGTTCTTGGCTAATCATTTAATAATTTCTGTCTTGTTCAGTCACTAAGTCATGTCTGACTCTGTGACCCCATGAACTGCAGCATGCCAGGCTTCCCTGCCCTTCACTATCTCCCAGAGTTTGCTCAAACTCATGTCCACTCATCAGTGATGCCATCCAACCATCTCATCCACTGCCACCCTGCCTTCTCCCGCCCTCAATCTTTCCCAGCATCAGGGTCTTTTCCAATGAGTCAACTCTTCGATCAGGTGGCCAAAGTATTGGAGCTTCAGCTTCAGCATCAATCCTTCCGGTGAATATTCAGGGTTGATTTCCTTTAGGACTGACTGATTTGATCTCCTTGCAGTCCAAGGGACACTCAAGCGTCTTTTCCAGCGCCATAATTTGAAAGCATAAATTCTTAGGACTGAGTTATGTGCTAATCACTGTACTACATGCGGGGGAATCCAAGTCCTGGGTTCCCCTGCCTCCCCACAGTGCAGAGTCCAGCGATCTCTGAAAGTAGATCACAGCATGTAAGTGTGCACAGAGAAAAGCATGGAAGCACAGAAAGAGGGGGAGAGAACCCAGTCCTGAGAAAGAACGAATATTCAAGGTTGATTTCCTTGAGGATTCCTTGAGGACTGGTTTGATTTCCTTGAAGACTGGTTTGATCTCCTTGCTTTCCAAGGGATTCTCAAGAGTCTTCTCCAGCACCAGGCACACTCTATGCAATGACTAAAGACTTACATGGTATTAAGCCACAGAGATGTTGGCCATGAGACTCTCCTAACATAAAGTTGTGGCAAGCCCTTCAGCCATAGGCTCAATTCAGGTAAGGACTACACTTGTTTTTTTCCTGTCATGGAGCAGGAATGAAATGAAATAAAAATGGAACATGTAAGTGGATAAACGAATGGTCTGGTCAGTGATGTTGAGTGTGAATTACAGGGTACTAATGGGGGCAGAGAAGAGAATCACACCCAAGAGAGAGTGCATGCGTGCTAAGTCGATTCAGTTGTGTCCAGCTATGTGCAACCCCGTGGGCTGTAACCTGCCAGGCTCCTCTGTCCATGGGATTTTCCAGGCAAGAATACTGGAGTGGGTTGCCATTTCCTTCTCCAGGGGATCTTCCCGACCCCAGGATTGAACCCATGTCTCTTATGTCTCCTGCACTTATGAACCTGCATGGCAGGCAGGTTCTTTACCACTAGCGCCACCTGGGATGCCCCACCGAGAGAGCGGGGAAATCTCAAGACTTGGGAATTAATTATTAAACAGTTATGGAGAGGGATTTCCCTGGTGGTCCAGTGGTTGATAATCTGCCCAAGAATGCAGGGGGCATGAATTCAATCCCTGGTCCCGGAAGATCCCACATGCCGCAGAGCAATAAGCCCCTAAGCAGCAAATACTGAGCCCATGTGCCTCTAGCCTTCAACATTGAGAAGTCCACTCACAGCAATGAAGAGCGGCCCCTGCTCCCGAAACTCAAGAAAGCCCGTGCATAGCAACAAAGACCCAGTGCAGCCAAAAATAAGTAGGTAATAAACATTTTAAAAACACTCTGCCTTCTAACGCATGGAGTGCGGGCTAGATCCCTGGTTGAAGAGTTAAAATCTGACATGCCTCATGGCCAAAAAAAACAAAACATAAAATAGAAGCAATACTGTAACTAACTCAAAGACTTTAAAAATGGCTCACATCAAAAAATCTTAAAAAAAAAAAGTTAGAAAGATGAGTCCAGTTTGGCTGAACCAGTAGGTAGATGTCACCAGCTAAGACAAAGCAAGCGAGAAAAAGCAATGGTAAAGAAGGAAGTATGATCTACTTAGATAAATTGAGTTTGACATGGCAGTGGGATAGCCACCACCTTGTATAAAATCATGAACAGTCTGGATAGGAAATACACTCATTTGAATTAGCTGTGTAGGGGTGATAATTAAGTCTGTGAGGGAGGATAAGGCTTGACACAGAGAACAGTTGAAAGAACAGAATAGAGGATGAAAAACATCTAGAGCAGCAGGAAAGAAAGAGGCATATTAAAATGAAACCTACAAGAAATGATGTGCAGGGCATCCAAAGACCATCAAATGAAGGCCAGGTTCCAGAAACTAAAACATCAAGGGTTTGAAGACGACAGAGTCATCACTGGTGTTAAAACAACCAAAGCAAGTTTTGCAAATGAGAAAGAGTGTTCGCTGAGTTTGACAATTTGGATTCAACTGGTGGTGATCATAGTGAGAAAAGTCTGAGCAGAATGACAGGTCCAATAATATAACTATACTGAGGAGTGAGAGGAACCGAGCAGGCGGAGAAGATGCGCGTTAACTATTCTTTTTGAAAACTTGGATGAAAGAGGAAGAAGGAATTCTGATGCTGCCTGAGGGAACTCAACCTCAAGAGAAGGTTGTGTGTGTTTGTTTTAACGTCAGTTAGAACTGTGGTGTTCATCATGGGAGCTACTCATCAGAAGGCTAACGAACATTTGAAATGTGGCTTGTCCATGCTGAGGGGTGCTGTAGAATAAAATTCACAACAGACTTTTGAAGACTCAGTATGAAAGAAAAACAATATAAAACACCTCAATAATAATTTTTAGAAGGAATATAAATTAAATGATAACAATTTAGATATAGTAGGTTAATATTGTATTAAAATTAATTTTACAGGTTTCTTGCTTTTTTGTAATATGCCTATTTTGAACATATAAAATCACATATGTGGCTCATGGTACATTTCTGTTTTGCAGGGCTCAGCTGAAATATGTTATTGGCTGTCAGGGATAAATAGTAATAACACTAATAATATCTGTGGCAGGCAGAAATCAGGATGGCTCCCAAGACACACTCCTGTGCAGTCTTTTCCTTTTGAGTCTGCATGGTGGAACAACTGAAGANTCCCACACTGCAGGCAGATTCTTTACTGGCTGAGCCACCAGCAAAGCCCAAGAATACTGGAGTGGGTCGCCTATCCCTTCTCCAAGGGAATCTTCCTGACCCAGGAATCAAACCGGGGTCTCCTGCACTGTAGGCGAATTCTTTACCAGCTTAGCTATCAGGAAAGCCCCCTATATAATGTTTAATTGGCAGTTATATCTGAAGTTTAATTGGCAGTTATTTCATACCAGGCATGATATTAAACACTTTAGACACAACATCTCATGTGATTGTCATAAAACCTTCAGAAATAGTACCATGATTATTCCAACTTTACAGTAAAGGTGACAAAAACACAGAAAGGTTTATTCCCAAGGTCATGAAACTAATATTTGGTAATATTCCAGGCCACTCAAACTGTTCTAACACATCTACCTTGAGGTAAGGAACACAGCATTAACAGGGTCACAGGTCATGTCTGACTTTAAGATACAGCATTAAGCTGAGAGGTTTGCAAAAAGCCAGAAAAAGAACATGGTACAGTTGCTACTGATACACAATTCCTATCTGCAAACTGGAGAGAATTTCAAATCTTTCCTGTTATTATTTGAAAGAGTGAGAGAGGAAGAAGGAAGGAGGGGGTTACATTTAAGTCTGTATAAGCTGACAGCTGTAGAGATGAGATAATTCTACAATTTTGAGGGATATAAATGATTTTTTAGTGTCAATCTCTACTAATAACAAATACTTTAAATAATGTATTATCATTTAGGAAGCAAAACTAGGATAAAGCAAAGACCAGCTTTACCAGAGAGAATTCTATCAGAGACTGTATGAAAATTAGGCACTCACTAAAAACTTCCAACCTTTCCATGGTACAGGAAAACAGTCCACAATAGTAAGACAAGGAACATTCCTTTTGACCGTAACTGGAGGAAAGATTCCATTCCCTAAGTCTTCCTATTAAATAAAACAATGGTTAATAAAGTCATCACTATTTTAGAGAAAGAGTTACCAAGTCAAAGTCTATTATATTTCATTTCAATGTATGACAAAAACCACTGCAATGATGTAAAAAGCCTCCAACTAATAAAAATAAATGGAAAAAAAAAAGTCAAACAAGATCAAACAGGAATGAATTGATATCTAGCTTCAGGAAGATGGATGAACAGTTTGAGATTAAATAGTTCAACTCTGGGCAGCGAGATCACTAAATAAACATTGTGCTCATGCGTGTTCCCTCATGTCCAACTCTCTGCAGCTCCTCAAACTGTAACCCACCAGGATCCTCAGGCCATGGACTTTCCCAGGCAAGAATACTGGAGTGAGTTGCCATTTCCTTCCCCAAGTGATCTTCCTGACCCAGGGATCAAACCTACAACTCCTTCATCGTCTACACTCAGGCATACTCTTTACTGCTGAGCCATCGGGGATATTTCTACTAATTTACAATGATCATCTCAGGTGAACTGGTAACCGAGTAGTTAGTCACATGTTGGACATAAGACAAGAAGTTAATATTAAATCTCAGATAGCAAAAATCACAGAAACTCAAGTCATCCAAGAAAGTAGCCTTTTGTTCCAAAAGAGACTCAGAAACTTACCCAGAGAAATAAGCAACCTCTCCCTGTGTGACCAACTTCTCCCTTACCCCACATAAACATCACCATTACTGCCACAAAAAACAGAGCCCCTTTATAATGATCAAGTGACACCAAAGCATATATGTACACACACACACATATACACATACAGACCCACACTAAAGCCTCTGACTTATTAATAGGTAAGGTTCTTTTCATGAACATAATAATTAGCTGAAAACTCATTTTATCATTATTCGGTCCAAAAGTAAACCTAGCCAAAAGCAGGATTTTCTTGAATCTCAACCAAAGAGTTCCTACTAATGGCAAAATTATGAGAATCTATCAGAAGCCAAGTTAACATTGATATAGGCTAACTACACAAAGGTTAAATAAAAAATCTAGTGGCTCTGGTGAATTATAAATTAAGAAGTATTAAAAAGCTAAATCTCTCTATAAAAAGCCATAAAACAATAAAATATAGTATATAAATATATAATTATACTATAGCATAATATATAAACACATAGATATTTATATAAACAATTTTTCCAAAATATAATAAGGGAAATTTTTAACTTTGAAAAATATCAAGAAACTAGTAACACTGCTATTTTAAAAAACAGACTGATCCTAAAATGTAATCTACTAGAATTTACTAGTATTCTATTTTAATATGAATCTTTAATATGCTATCACACCAAAAGAAAATTTTAGTGAGACTATAGCATTAATATGCTTCCAGAGATGCCTAATTTTTAAAATTGAAAGATATTTAAGAACCAGAGAAAGACAGAAATACTTTGAACTCACTACAAAAACTGCAAAGTGTATACATATATATATTTACATATAAATATATATTTTATGTATATACTATACAATATATATAGAATGCATTGATCAAATCAAATATTTGTCTACCTGAAATATATCATTTTAAACATTCCCACCCATCAGAAGAAGGAGATGGAACCATGTCTTCCTGATCTGAAGATGAGAGGACCAAGGCTCATACAGGTTTAATGATAGGTTTAATGATTTATCTAAGGTTATTAACCTCACAGGTGGCAAAACTGCTAACTCAGGCCCTTGGATTACAGATCACTGCTTTTACGAAAAGGTATACTGCTACGTTCTGAGAGGATTCTAAGAAGAACCTGGCCCAGTCACTATTAAGAAGTTTAGAGACATCAAAAACTCAAGGAAGCAATGGGTTTGTGCATTAACTGGGATGACACACAACAGGGCTCAGAAGAGAAGAATGAATAAGATACCATTAGGTGTACCATTGACCTGGGTAATGAACAGAGGCCTTGGAGGGAGACTGGACTCAAACAGCCATTGTGGGGAGGGGTCTACAGCTCTTTCTACTCTATATAACCGGTCTTCCCATGAATCCATGTAACACATGATCGGTCCTCATCTCCAATCTCATGCTCGAGAACTCTGCAGCCTCTCATGGAATCATAATGAGGATGTTGGAAGTAGGTTATTGGTAATGGTAATGAATGTTTCTACTTTAATATTGGTTAGGAATTCCAATTACAATCAAGTAAATGAACTTACTTGGAGAGAGATTCTCAAGGGCTTTTCCCAGTTTCTTGCTCTCTTGAAGGATGTGGTTCAATTCATCAAAATCACGGCTTTCTGGTTTAGTCCGCCAGTTCCACTTAGGATGATCTACTGACCTTGGCACTATGTTTAAAAAAAACGATTACTTCATAAGCATGCTACAGAATGATAAAAACTTACTATTCATCATTATGTGAAAGACTGTCTCAAGATCAGTGTACAGAATAAAAATGGTTTTTGGAAATAGTTCTCTTGTGAGCAAACAGAAGGGAAGTTATGAAGCTGGATTTTAAGAAATGTTTTAACTAAACAAGTAAAGGAAGTGTGACAATGTTTATAGAAAAAAGAAATTTCAAGCACTGATTTAACACTAGTAATTCATATAAATTAAGGAAAAACACAAGCAAAGTATGTTATATTATGTTTCGGCAGCTTAAAAATAACTGCTACCTTCTTCATGAGCAATTTGTTAAATGTTTTTAAGACATTCTTGCTGTCTTCTGATAAAACAAGACTGAATACTTATATTTACCTTCACTTTCCCTCAAGTTCTCACTAAAATTATATTGTGGTGCTTTTCTTTTGTCAAAGAATTGGATAAACAAAGAGAGAAGACAATACATTTTTAAAGGAAGATGCAAAATGAACTGATGAGTGATAAGTGGATTTAACAAGGTAGAGAAAACTGAAATCTAGACCTTGAAGATAGAGATACCAAAAAAGTGAACATTTCATACCATTTAAACATTAAAGTATCAATCAAGGAGGACCAAAGCCAAAATAATAAGAATAGAAAAACATAATTGCCTTCCAGATTAGGAGGATCCATTAAATGTCCAGTATAATGCAAGGCTGTGCTGTGTTTAGTCACTGGGTTGTGTCCAACTCTTTATGACCCCATGGACTGTGGCCCTCCAGGCCATGAAATTCTCTAGGCAAGAATATTAAAGTGGGTAACCTTTACTTTCGCCAGGGATCATCCCAACCCAGGGATCCAACTGAGGTCTCCCGCATTGCAGGCAGATTCTTTACCATCTGAGCCACCAGGGCAGCCCAAGAATACTGGAGTGGGCAGCCTATCCCTTCTCCAGGGGATCTTCCTGACTCAGGAATTGAACCATTGTCTCCTGAATTGCAGGTGGATTCTTTACCAGCTGAGCTACGAGGGAAGCCCATTATTCGAGACACATTATCACAAAATTTTACAACAGTGGTAATAAAGAAAACATCTTTAAAAGCTTTCAGAGACAAAAATAGCAAACCAAATTATCATCTGATTTCTCAGCAGCAATGCTTGGCCTCAGAAGACACAGGAGAAGTTCTTTCAAAATTTTAACTGAAGATTACTTCTAACCTATAATTTTATTTATTTATTTTTTTAATTTAGAATTTTACACCCAACTAAAATGGGCTTCCCAGGTGGCTCAGAGGGTAAAGCATCTGCCCACTATGTGGGAAACCTGGATTCGATCCCTGAATCGGAAAGATCCCCCGGAGAAGGAAATAGCAACCCACTCCAGTATTCTTGCCTGGAGAATCCCATGGACAGAGGAGCCTGGTAGGATACAGTCCACAGTGTCACAAAGAGTCAGACACAACTGAGCGACTTCACTTTACACTTTAAGGGTCAATCGGGTTTCCCAGGTGGTGCCAGCGGTAAAGAACCCAGCTGGCAATGCAGGAGATAGAAGTTCGATCAGGGGCCAGGAAATCCCCTGGAGGAGGGCATGGCAACCCACTCTGGTGTTCTTGCCTGGAGAATCCCATGGACAGAGGAGCCTGGCGGGCTACAGTCCAGAAGACCGCAAAGAGTAGAACACGACTGAAGCGACTTAGCACACAGCACAAGGAGTCAGTCGAGATACTTGAGAGGACTCAAAAAATGTACCTGGCAAGCACTCTTTTTCAGAAAACTCCTAGTGGAGGTCCTCCACCAAAATAAGTAAGTAAACCCCAAACTGGAGAGAGTTGAGATTCAGGAAACAGATAATCCCCCATAAGAAGAAAGAAAACCTAAGCCTCAGGATGACAGGTAAAGGATGGTCTCAGCAGACAGCTGAGGAAAAGAATGGAAACCAAGGAGTTAAGACTGGAGCAAGAGGACAAAGGGCTACAGGAGAGAAGTCTCTAAGACTTTTTAAAGGAAATAAAGTATAAAATATAAATTAAAGTAAGATAGAAGAACGCGATGTGTGTTAGTTATTGAAAGTTTTAATATTTTAAGGCACGTTTTGGTGAAGCATTAGTGACGGGTACAGAGAAAGCAAAGCAAGCAGAAAACAAGCCAATTATTGATTCTAGAAACAAAATAAAAGTTGGCTTTCTTATGATTCTACTATGAAAAAGGCTAATTAACACAATCATAAAAATATCAGTGCAGAGTATACATCAACATTTGAAATATCTGCCTGCCTCTACTGTGAGAATGTGATGGGTCTTGGGAATAAAGCACAATGTCTTAGAGAGAGGTCAAGAAATGATGCTTCAAATTTAAAAGCTAAAAGAGAACTATGCAAGTATCTTCTATGTTTAGATATATAGATCTGCATGCCAAAAGAAACATCTAAGAGTTAAAAGTGGGTCCACAATAGAAGCAGAACAAGAAGAAAAGAAGGACACTTGTCTTATGGTATTAATTTGCTCTTTATACCGTATATGTCTATGTTCAATAAAAATAAAATAAAATAATTTAAAAATATTTACATGGTAAGGTTATAGGAAAAATACTCTCAACCTACTGAAAAATTTCTTCAGCCACCTTTTTAGAAGTAATTCAGAAATATTTATTATAATAGAACATATACTGACCCTCTGACTCAGCAATATTATTTCTGATAAATTATAATACATAAATGAAAACACTCATAGTTATGTATCTATGTAAAAAGAGGTTTATTTTATCAGAAAGTGCATGATAATTATTTATTTCACCAAAGAGTTTATGGTTGTAAAACTCTGTAAATAACCTATAAAACTAAATGCACTTCACAGGGGAATAAATAAAGTATGGCATATTCACACTATGGTACAGGTATGCATTTATGAAAATATACAACATAGATCTAAGTTCATTTGCATGGAGATATATCCATAACACATTTTAAAACAATAAAAACAAGTTGCTTAGGAATGTGTACAGTTTAAAGCCAGTTTCATAAAGCAAATCAACTCCCATGTATTTTATGTTAGTTTATACAAAGAAAAGGATGCAAAAGAATGTAAATCATTTCAAAGGATGTGAAAAGATACAAACTATTTCCAGGGGAGTAGCATATGAAATGGCTGATGGGAGAGAATCTATCTTTCTACATGTTTGTATTTTTTTCATTGTCATTATAAGCAATATTTAAAGATTTATTTAAATTAAAGAAGTAATTACTTCTATAACTTAAATACATCTAAACTAAAAACATGCATCTGTCTCCTCTGTGTTTCTTTGTTTAAGGGACTCTGGGATGGAGATGTCAGCTAACATCAGCACCCCAGTTTTCAAGCAGTGGAGCGGGGAAGCAGCGACTATGATCAATGGTTCTAGAAAAGACCTTCAAGCATACACCTATTACCCCATAGGTAATACCCCAGGAGTTCCCAGGGGACAAGCTCAGGCACAGGGAAGAGAAACTCAGAAGAGGAGGCAGAGAAAACTGTACTTGTACCAGATCCTTCACAACACTTACTGGTACTTTTGTTAGACCTTTTAAAAGTAATTTCTCTAATCTGCATCATTATATTATCTAACTTTTCTTAAAATTATCATATCCTATCAAGATATCTTCAAATAAAAAAATAAGAACACAGTCTTTTTTGAAAAATATCAGTCCCAATCAACCTCCCCAGATAATCATGAGCCATGCGCCACTGCCCACCCCAGCAGACTTTGCAGAACACCACCTGAATGCCCTCGCGGGCAAACTCAGATGAGACCAGCAAAACTGCGCAGCCAATTTGCAAAACCCTGAGAAACTATAATTTGTTGTTTACAGCCATGGAATTTGGGGGAGATTATATGTAGGACTAGAGAGAAATGATACGACATCCCAGCTCTTTCCCTCAGGAACTTTCAAGAGAAACTAAGACAAATTTCTTTCTATATTTCTGTAGCTTGTGACAATGTGCTACATATGTGATATTCAATTTATCATGGGATCCAAATCAAGGAAGGCCACAGGATAATCATGGTCTAATCAACTACACTGGATGATTTCAGAAGATGTTTTGATAACTAATGGAAGGTGATTTGGGAGTCATCAGCCCAGTTTACAGACTCCAGGTGAGAATCTCTAAAGGTTTCTAATAAATTAAAAACCTTGCTTAGGTAATACTTAGTGTTAAAACTCAGGGCTACAGTTTATATTGTCTAAAAAATGTCCTCAGGAGAAATGGATAACAATAGAATGGTATAAACAACAGAACATTAATATGATGAATTATTTCACAAGGTGAAACAATCTGAGATTAGGGACAGCCTGTAATATCATTGAGATAAAACACATTCCCAGAGCACAGCAGGAACCCATCCACAGCACCATATAAACGGTCATGCTCCATTCATTCATAAAGAGGTCACTACTTCACAAACAGCATACTGTATACTGAGCAGGGCCTATTTTGAACAACATTAATCAAATCAGAATTAATTTAATCCTGATATCTCCACCAATAGTTTCCATCCGTGAGTCAAATAATAAACTTACTATTCCCTCCAAATGACTTTTAATATATTATTTATCCATTTCTTTTGAACCAAAGTAATTTCAATTATTTAGATCTTTTAACTCTGTTTTCCAAAAATTTAATAAATAATAGTATTCTTTCCTGAAACTTCCTCCCAAGTACTTTACCTTCATTTATAATATGTCAGGAGATTTCTCAGTACTATAATTATGATATACCTAAAGTTGATTATAGTGAATTTATTATTTCATGTCTCTTGCCTTCTGCATTTCCATACTATGATATTTCAGACACTGCATTGCCACATTCATTCTCTTGTATCTATGCAATTTATGTTTTCTATACAGGTACAGTCTTTTCATTTTTTTCTTAAAATTTTAACAAATATACAGCTATTCCTATTTTCATCAGCTCAGTTCAGTTCAGTTGCTCAGTCGTGTCTGACTCTT